TGAGACCTCACCGTGCTTCTTGAAAAATATTGTCGCATATATTTGTTTCCCATAGTGCTAGACAATGGAAACTAGACTCATGAAGGTCCGTCTTGGGGAAAAAGATATATACACCCCTTCTCAGGCGTCATCCCTCACAGACGACAAGGAAAAAGAGGCATCTACCCTATTCCATTGAGCAGATGATGTTTCCTCAGGATTGTGGGATTAACGATGATTTTCCACCTGAATAGCACAGGCTTAGGATCCGTTCCGCCTCATTTCACAACTGTGTTCAGCGTCGATGTAGATAAAAGGTCCCCACTTTTATTTTGCTATATACACCAGGTACATATAAATAATACATTCTCTATTCTGCTGATTTGGCAAACTGGTGCCCGGTTTCTCCACACTTCTGTCTGCCTGGTCCACCAAATCTGGGGCTTCCCGCTCCGATTCCGTCTATTGTGTAATCTCCGAGTCCCGCTCCGATTCGCGAAGTCATAGTTCCTCTCGGGCTGGATATAAAGTCCCCGCTGCCCGTTTTGATTGGCCAACCCTATTTTTGACGCCCGTGAAAGCCGGGAACTTGATTGGTTAGAATAACTAACCACTCGGCATGCCGACTCTTGGAGTTACTGAACATCGTATGTGCAGCGCTGGGCGGCTTCATCAGCTTGTTCGGCCTGGTGTCATATCTCTTCAAGGAAAGCTCTATTTATTGGAAGCTTGTGATTTATCCTAGGTTGCGGGAAATCTAACTTGAGTTACTCTTTTTAACCAATTCAATGTCCATGGTTTAGATTTTTTATTTATCATATGCACTTACTTATAATGTACCCAAACAGCACATTATATCTATTTAACCCAGACAATTCTCTTCCTGATACATAGACACATCTTCGAAATGCATCTTACCAATCACCCAATCCGCAGTAGTCTCCCTGATCTCCGGAATCTTTCTCTCCCCCTCCTGCTGGTGCCCGACATGCAGGCCATCTGGCTCTGTAGCAGCCTAGTGATCTTCGCGCTTGGTGCCGAATTTGCCACTTCTGCATGCTGAAGCTATTGCGGCATGCGTTACGCATGCCGACTCTGTACTGTCAAATCCGATTGTCAAGTGGAAGTTTGCAGATAGGAATGTGCCTCGTCGGCTGTAGAGGGTCATTATTGCGAAGTCTGGGGCTAATGATGGGCTTTGGTGTCCTATTTTTAGCTTTCTGCGATTTTATCATATTCCGATTGTAGGTGCTGGAGGTGATGGCAGCGTTGGTGGAGGACAATTTGAGAGAGGATTGAGAACGGCGGTAACACTTTGGTTTGGTGAGATGTGGGATACACCATTTTGCTGAGTATATTGTATGGGGTGGTTGTAGGCTGTGTGGCAAAGGAGATGCTGCATGAGAAAGGGAGAAGAAGTACATTGACCGGGACATCTAATGTTTGCAATTGCGTTGGCCGTAAACTTACCCCTTTTTATCCTCCGATGTTTACCCCAAGTCGCCTTTTAAAAAACCATCACTTTCACATTTCCTTTACTCGCCAATTGTTATCATGCTATTTCTATCCCTTACTTTTTATTGTCGGTACCTGCGGGATCATAGGCAGCGACGATGCCCTTACCTTCTTCATCGCCGGCAACGTATTTATCTTTGAGTGAGCTAGCATTCCCTTAAAAGTCTCTAACTCATCAAATGACTCTTTATCCCAACAAACATGTTCCCCAGCCACTGGTTCTGCCTTGAGACACTCGATGACTCTCCAGCCCACCGTCGACATACTTCTTAACGCCTCCGTCTTTATGTGGTACAGCGCTGTATGCCCTTGGAACAAATTTCTGCACAACATCATCACCATACACCGACTGTCCACAGCGTTTGTGGTTTTTTTTTTTTTGGTCCCATCGGTGTCAGTACTGTTTATTATCTGTATATGAGCAGGGAGCATTTGGCGATGTGGATTGTGCCAGATGGTAGTGGGAGTTGGGAGAAGATGCAGCTGCATTGTCGGAGGAAATTGAGGAGATTGTGTGGTTTTTTTGGTTATTTTGAAGTATCGTATGTTGTTCGCAAACCCCCCGTTCTTATCCTCTTCTCTTTCAATACCTAGTTATGGTGGGCTAACGGTATAATCTAGGTCATCCGCGGCCTCACAATACCCGTGGCAAAGCTAGGTATGCAGCTGCCTCACTCCCTTTCCTCTGCCCGAAACCACAACTGAAACCCTGGCGACAACGATAGCCATTCCTCCCGCCCATGGCGCGCTTTTCTACCATCAATAAACCTCGTTTAGTTCCAGCCGCAGAAGGCACCGCGATTGTGCTGATCCACTTAAAAAAGGGAGGGTTGGTTTGGTGGAAAAGGACATTGCCATCCAGCAATCTTCTAGCTTTGTCGTATATTTAAGAGAAATGTGTCTTAGAAGCACAGCTCAAGATCCCCATGGATGGGTTACGGGCGGGAGAAGGATGTTTTCGGATATATCTTCTTTTGATTTGCGTAATCTTCTATTACTGCCAAAAACACTACAGCGCTTCCTTTTCTTTTATCCCAGATTTGTTCACTTTTGCTTTTTCGCTGCTTTTATAGGCGGGTATTTGACTACCTATTCATCACCGATATAGAGAGGAAATGAAGTAAAATAGGTCTGATCGGTGGAGGGATAAAATGGTTGGTGGCATAGATTTGCTCAGAATGAAACATACAACTGTCTGTCTCCAGCTGTTTTATAGTTACTTCATTATTTTCTGCCACCATGCTATGCCATCGCAAACGGATCTGATTCTTCTGGCAGCATGACAAGAATAGGTTTTTCTGTGGAAGATGCTGAAATCCTGAACCACTTTCGGGGAAACCAGAAATGATTGAATCCAGAAGTCCTCTCTCTGTGTTTTGCCTTGTACCCTGCATTTCTACGCACAGATGGCGGTGTCATCTACAGCAGTAATTATGTCAATTGATCATCTTTGTGCTCCGGTAGGAGTTTCGTGGCATATTACGTATGCCGTGGTAACTAACTTGTTACAGAGCCTTGAGGGGGGAGGTTTAAATTATAAGATCATTGATCTCCAGCTGCAGCTGTAACCCCGCCAGTCATCCGTAACTATCTACTCCATGTTAAGTGCTCATTCAACTGCTTCAGGGAGCCTTGTGCTAAATGCATACCATACTACCTTGGAAGGGAGCGGAGACACAGTACTGACTGACCGAAGCCGGTGGCGGCCTCCACATCCAACCTGCATTCAAAGGAAAAAAGACGTCCGGCGAACAGAGGCGCAGGACCCCTTCCAACACTCTAATTCCTCTCTGAATGGAACCGTCCCCGCTCTATGCATTCTCGGCACACCCAACGATCATCCGGCGTCTTGCATAGTGCCAGCCTGGTGGAGAAATGGAGAATGTTTGTTCATCCTGAATTTGCGACTTGCGAGGTAACAGCAACGGGAACCTACCTTGATGAATGTCTTCTTTTGTGTTCAAGATAGGTAAACAACTGGAAGAAGCGGTCCATCGGCCTGCGAAACCAGCTCCGACAATTGAGGCCGTCTTGCGACGAAAGAAAGTATCACTTGGTTTTCCAGGCTGCTTGGTCTATAGAGACAATGAACCATCTATGAAATAGGCATTTGGTCGACCAAACATTGGAACGGGGCTGCAGACTCCCAAGTGTTTCAACGGGGCAAAGTCTGGATTTCAGTCACATGAATTCTTTCTTATCCGCAGCTCTCGCTCGGTGCAGAACACCGGATGCGGGGGTAATTATCAATCATCCTTTGAGTTAACTTCGAGTCCCAAGATCCAATCGTCTCCATCGGAACCGTTTTTGCTTTTCTTTGAACCAACCGACTTGAGAGATGGCAAACGATCCGGAGCTTTCCACATCCAGGGATCTATGAATGGTCCATAGACCCCAAAATCGACCCTGGCTCCCCCATGTGATATATGTTTCTATTTCATTATTTCCTGTTTCCATGGAGGTTGATTCCTCTATGCTTTATCCAGCATCAATATGCACTAGTAGTTACCATAACTGTTTCATACAGAAAAAATGCAGCATGGGAATGGGAATGAGCCGCGAAAAATCCAGCTGCTGCATCGTTAATGGATGATTGGGAATCCGCATCTTGAACATGTAAATAGCATGAAGTCCGTTTCCATCGATAAATACAAAGAAAGCGTCTTCAATCCCACCATATGAAAGTTTGTCTAGAGTCCTAAAGGATCGGCCCCGTTCTCCGCCAGACCTCGACTGAACAAGATGATACCGTCGAAGGAGGCCACAGTTCAAAGCATATTTAGAGCAGACCTTGAGCATCTCAGCCACATTCTGTCCACGTTCCAAAAATCTCACACATCAAGCAGGTTGAAAACCGCCCAGAACCAGAGTAGAAGCTTTCTTCATCATAAAGCCACAAATCCATTTTTCTCCCAGAAGTCCCCTGCAGGAAAGGCCAATGAGACAATATATTTCCAAAACTTGGTAAGCTTACTCTGTCCAGTTAATGACCGACCACTTTTAACTGTTCAAGAAGTGCATTGTTTATGCAGCCTGGAAAATGCAATGTGTATGGTAGTCGAGCAATTGAAAAAACAAGATACGTGTCGCAACATTAAATACCCTTTCCCTCCCCTTTGAAATTACTATTTTAAATCATCCCCTCATTCTTGAATAACAGATTGGCATTTTTCAATAATTTCTCTTTTCTTTTGCCGGGCCTATCTTTGGTTTATATATTCGGAGAACTTATCCTACTTAGGTTGAGACAATCTGAATGAAGCCCCTAAATCGCATCACCGACTACCCGCAGGAACCAGACCTGTTCTTTGCGATCAGGAAATCGAAACAGCTTATATTTTTGAATATTGTTCTGCTTTTTGTCGTTTTCTTATATATTTTCTATCTCTGGCGGAGATTTCAGCATTATTAAAATCGAGGGCTAGCCTGCCCCCCCCCCCCCCCCCCCCCCCCGAAACATCCTTTGTTTTTTATCATTTATCATTATTACAATTATCAAAGATGTGATGGCCGAGAAGACCATTCCGAGCGATGCTATTGAGGTGGAGGTGCGCATTGAACCTGATGTATGGAAGCCGTCTTCTTCTATGTTCTTTTCCAGGGCAAGAGAACCAGGAGATTTGCTATGATGAAAGAGGGCCCAAATTGCTGACCCCCTTTTGTGGAATGACAGGAACACCAGTCAGACTCAGAGGATGAGCCACAACTGGGAAATCCGTGAGTTAGTCCCGGGGCTCTAAAACCGCTGTACCATCCCAGTATGCTCACATTTCTTTATTCAGACTTAGCACTGGGACATCATTAGCTTCCACAGTGTTCAACTACAGGTGTGGAAAATCTCCGTGATCAGAATCAAGCGTTACCTTTGTTAGTGACGAGGTATGGAACTAAGCTAATATCTCTCTACCCTATGTTGATTGCAGATCTGAGGTAAGCTAGGAAGAGCTATAAAATACCTAGAAGGGGATATGGGTGTGTTTGGAACTTGGGCTTGACGATAAGCATTTGGCAAACATTTTAGAATGGCCGAAGATATCATGGACTGAAAGACGGGGCATACCTTTTGGTGCAGTCACTCTTCCCCCTTCTTTTTCTATATATGTTCATTGCTACATGCTAATGTCCTACTGCGCAGCCAAATGACAGAAGAGAGCAAGATCGCATGGACTTGGTATGGCCATGTAACCTTTTCATCCTTATCGCATATTTTGCAGTAAAAATCAAAAATTTACTATCCTATTTTCTACAAAAATATAGCAACACTTTATCTACTGTCCGGTATTAGACGGTCGACTGTATTGCGCTCCGCTGAAGCGGGATCCCGGACGAGAGCTTGATCTAGGCACAGGAACGGGGAGTTGGGCGGTTGAGTTTGCTGAGTGAGTACCTATGAACGACCTAGATGCTGTGACGATTGAGCCGCGTGTGGTTGCGTGAGAACAGGGGATGGGCATAGATTAGGGAAAGGAAAATTAAATGCAAGCAAGGAAAAACATGGGGCACTGTGAACATAAATATGGTTCAGATTAGCTAACTTGAGATTTTTCCTCTGGAACACGGCAGTCAACATCCCACAACAGAAGTTCTCGGTTCGTGTTTTGAAAGAGATCCGCCACTTCCACTCCATCCCCATCTCCATCTCTGGAGATATTCCAACATCAAGGAAAAAGAAGAGAAGAACAACCCAACTAAGCCCCATCCAATGCCCCTCCACCCCACCCCACAAAACTGCACTTTCGATATCGACGACTTCGAAACAGAATGGACCTACCCCACCAAACCACAAACAGGGCTCTACGACTACATCCACGCACGCGAAATCACCGGCTCAATCCAAGACTACCCCAACCCTTCGCACAGGCATACCGCCATCTAGCGCCCGGGTTTTCTGGAGATGCAGAGCATGGAGACGAATTTCTTCTCGGATGACGGGACGCGTGAGAGGGCTGTAACAGCTGTGCGGTGGCAGGAGATGCTGGTGGGGGCGAGTAGGAGGTTCGGGAAGGAGTTGGGTGTTGAGGAGAGGTGGACGGTGGGGATGGAAGAGGCTGGGTTTGTGGGGGTTAAGGAGATGGTTTATAAGGTGCTGACATGCATGTTAAATTGATATGAAGAGAAACACACACATACACAGCTCCGTGCGCTCCCACCGCCTCTTTGGTGGAAATGGAGAGAGTGTTGGGAAAACTGGATGATAAGCTCTAAAGCTAACCAAGCCCAAAAAACGAAAACCTAGATCCCCCTATACGCATGGCCAAAGGATCCGCACATGAAAGAGCTGGGCCGGTATCAGGCAGCCTGCACGCAGGAGATGTTGCAGTCGTATTCGCTGGCGCTCTTTACGCGCGTGCTGGGCTGGAGTAAGGCGGAGCTAGACGCGTTGCTGGAACAGGTTGGGAATGATTTGAGGGATCCGAAGAGTCATTTGTACGCGAAGGTAAGAGTTGTGTACGGACAGAAGGGAGAGTCGGAGTATATGTGACGGCGACTTTGTTACTGAAATATGAGATGAAAGCTTTTTTTTCCCCTTCCACCCTCCTCTTCTGGGTTTCCGGGGCTGCGTCGCAATGGGATAGAGTAGTAAAACGAAATTAAAAAAGAACTAAAAATTGATATATCATGAGGGAGACTAGATGGATGAGTAGTAAATTTCTAACCAGCTATCTTTTGACATCGTTAAAATACTTTCAAGCAAATCGAGCTATGGATCCGATGATTTCCCCTTTTCCAAGGAAAAAAAAAAAAAAAAAAAAAAAAAAAAACCAAAGATAAGAAACAAAACCCGAGACGGAGGCATCAGATTAAATGCCACCACTATGGGTGAAATATAATACACTGAAGGTAGGAAACTGTTTGGGTAAGGTGCGAGTGCGGATTGGAATAGAAGAGAAGAGAGAAGAGAAAAAGGCACGAGGACTCCCTAGATTTGCATATCCTCAAGGACATGGGGAAATGGTATACGAGAGGATATATATATCATCTGCCGAATTATATAACATACTGAACGCAGTCAACCTTGTCAGCACGTTTTTAGGCGAAGAAATTGCCAGGGTGAGACAGAGATCCACTCACAGGAATAAACAAATAAGGCACCTCCTTCTCATACTGCGTCCAGGCCTCTCCATACTTCGCCCTGCAGCGCTGAATATCTCTGAGTGAGCGATGGAAGATCATGCAAGCGAAGAAGATGGGATAGAACCAAGGGAACGGGCTGTTAAAGCCGGTCACCAAACCCCAGGCCAGGGCGAAGAACATATCACACGTGTAGTGGATCTTTCGTGCATAGCCATCTACAAAAGAAACCAAAATTTCAAATATCAGCCAAAATTCAATTAGGAGATAGTACAGCATCTGTTGGGCCAGGGTTTAACATACACCATCCATCAACCAATATCGTGTAGCCCTCTTTGGACGTGATGGTGCGGGGATTTTTGAGGGTTTGCCAGGGGAGTTGGGGGAAGGTGTTTCGCAGGATCATGCATCCCTCTCGCTGTTGACGGAATCGATTCTTCTGGCTATTTGTGGTATCCCATACCCAGTAGACGAACAGGTAAACGATATACAGCGCTGCAAGTGCGTATCGGTTCCATCTGTAGGTATCCGGATGGTGGTTGGCAAGATAGATGGTGCAATGGCAGTAACTCAGAGGAACGCCAGCAAGGTTCCAGAAGATAAGCATGAAGCCCCATTTTTCGTAATACATATCCCTATTTGTAAACGTGTTAGTGATTTCAATTTTGTATTGATACCGGAGCAAATTTGGTATCAGAAAGGAGGGAGGTGGGGCGGAGGGTGGAGAGGGTGAGGATATCGAACCATGTGGCAATGATGCACTCTTCGCCCTTCGAGCATGCATTGGCGTACAGGTAATGCGCCACCAGCAAAAACGCAACCTCACCAGAGACATAACCATAAGTCTCCCACTGCCTTGCCGCAGCACCCAAAGAGACCAGGAAGAGAATATACCAGGGCAGCCGGACCTCGAAAAACATCTTGAAATCCAGGATCCCGAACAATCTAGGATTGAGCTCAGCGCCCATGAAGAAGTCATAGATGGGGTAGCAGCTCATGCGATGCTCAGCACCACGCATCCGCGCAGAGACGTAAGCGATGATCGAGATGATGAAGCCGGTCAAGATGGCGACACTCATCAAGGGTCCGAATTCATCAATGATAGTATATAGCTTGTACACACCGCTAACATGAAAGGCAAGAGCAACGACAATGGTAGCGTAAAATGAGGCATACGCAGAGCAATAGTAGGGCAACTGCTTACCGCCAAGATGCTCCAGCTTACGGCCCTTAACGTGGATACCGGGCAGAAACATATAGCAAAGCCCCTCAAAGATGAAGAATGACCAGAATGTAATCCACGCTCTGGCCGTGGGGAACGCACCCTCCCGCGTCAGATTAAACAAGTGAATTGAGAAATCCTTCGCACTTTGCCCTTCCTCGGGCAATGGCAGCTGTCCGTCATAGTACGTCGCGCCAATCCACATATAGTACATCAGCAGCGGAAAGCCAATCATCATACTCAGACAGCCAAGGGAGCCCCCGAACTCGAAGTGGCCCGAGTCATCGATTTTGTAACTTTTGGGAGCAGCTGTCGCATTTGCGACGCTATTGCTATTGGCATGGCTGTCGACAGGGGTGTCGCCATTCTGCTTCTTCTCGCTGACGCGCCTTCGGGTTCTAGGCGCCTTGGACGTCGCTGGGTTCTCCAGGATCTGACTTGAAGACGCAGAGTCGGGGGCGTCTGAGGTTTCGTCAGGAGTCATGGACGAACGGCTCCTTGTGACACGGCGGCCAGGAGTCTCGACATAACCCTCACGCTGGATTTTCCTGTATAGGCGCAAGCGAGATTAGCTTGCTCTAATTCACAGAAGGAACTTTTTATGATGAGATCTTAGATATTGGGGAGATCAATTGGACAGCAATGTAAGATTGAACTTCCTTTTCAAGATACCTTCAATAACGCGGGCAGCAACGGGGCACACTTACTTGGGGGTCTTCCCGGTCTGCGAACGGGTGAGGGTCATGGCCGTGTAGGGATTGACGCTGATGGAGGAAGAGAGATGTCCAGCTTCGAGAAGAAGAAGGAAAGCAAAAAAATGAAGCTGGACAAAGAGGCCAGAGAGCGAAGTTCCCCCCCAGGAGGCTCTAACGACTCAAATATGGGCCACTTCGCCCAAAAGGGAAATGTGATGGCAAAAAAATAATTTGAAGTTTCGAGGGAAGATATGCAATACGGTACGGGAGCTAATAATTACAAGCGACGGTGGGGAATTCGCTTATATAATTCTACAGAGAATGTATTACCCCTGTATTAGGTGTTCTTACAAGTCTCCGATGGTGGCTCGTGGCTAGTCCCAAACAGGAAATGTGTTTACCCCTGGGAACCTTGTAGCATCTCCGAATGACTTGAAAAAGCCATCTCATCAGATACGAGGGAATGTGATAATGTACATTATTTTCGTGAACTGGTAGCAGGGAATCCGCAGAGCATGTATGGAATGTAAAACATAGAGCGCTATATACAGATATAGATCTAAATATCAGATCATGCGTCAAGGACATGCAAGTCCCCAAACAACGGGTTGGGCAATGGATTAACCAGCAAATCACGATGCAGAGTTCTCAGGATGAGCAGAGAAGAAATTGAAAGCGGGTAGGGGTGGACCACCCAAGCCAACCGCCCCCCGCCACCGGTCTGGCTGGGGGATGGGATTGGGTCAGCGTGGTGCTGGGAGAAGGATGGAGGTATGCATGTACCGACCGTTAACTTGATCACCACCTCCAGACCTCCAGATCTCCAGATAAAGCGGTAAACACATACATCCTATATCATAGCTCCAACACCCAAGACCAACATCTACATACGAAGCACGCCTCAGTGAACCCAAAACGTCCAATATCCCCCCAAAAAACACCTCTCATTGGTTGAAACGGGGTGATAATGACATAATATCCTCACGCCGCACGCCTTGCAGTTGTACTCATAAGCGTAATTTTCTTATATTTCTTCTTGCCTCCCGTCCCACTACCAGTGCCACGAACACCACCACCACCACCATTCCCCGCAACATTCGTCGCATCACCTAGCACACCTCTTTCCCCCTCCACCTCCCACCCCTGCAACCACCCATCATCCACCCCACCCTCCACGCTCTTACTCTCCCCCATCATCGTCGGCGCAACCGCCGCCGTCCCCCACACCGTCCTATAAGTACCACCACCCGCACCCGCCCCGCTAGTACGAGGAGCATCCGGCGGACTACCCGCTGGCGACGCCAGGGCTGCGAACGAGGGCCAATTCCTGCTACGCGAGGAGGACCAGGGCGGAGAGGCGGAAGAGATGCTTGGGTCGAAGACTGGGGTTGGGGTTGATGCGGATGCGGATGCGGATGGCGTTTCAGGGCCCACGCAGAGAGGTTGGAAGTCACTTGCGTCGAAAGGGCTATTGCGATCACGATCGCGCAGCATCTGCTGCTGCTGCTGATCCAGACTGTATCCAGGTCCTGATAAACTATCCCTCTTCCTCCGCGCTGCCGCCGCTGCCCACCTCTGCTCCTCCTCACTCTTCTCGGCCCGAATGCGCTCCTTCTCCTCCCTAGCCGCCTTCTCGCGATTACGCCTCCGCCTCCGCTCCAGCTCAGCGGCAAACTTCTCCAGGACGGCCGGACTGACGATATCGTGCCAGTCACATTCCAGGAAACTTACTTCGCAGCCGTGGGGAAGGTGGCTGAGGTATTTTGTGCGTTTGCGCAGGTCTTCATCAACGATGTGGCCGGTTGAGATGCGCTCTATGCGCGGGAGGATGGTGGAAGGGAATTGGCTGTAGTCACCAAAGGCGGTTTTGAGTATGCGGATGTCTAGGGGGGAGAGGTAGAAGTGGGGAAGGGCTTGGTAGAAGTAGAAAGGGTGGTCGATGAAGTGGGGTGGGGAGTGAGAGTAGTGTAAGGGGTCTTTTTGTTTAATGGGGGGTTTGGAGGGGGGAGGTGGGTTCGCAGGTGTTGTACAGGAGTCGTGGGTTTGGAGAAGTGAATTGATGTCTAGTTTTGAGATGGCGGATGAAACGGTGTCCGTTTCGACGGGGTTGGAGGGATTTGTTTGCGGAGTGGTTTGAGGATTCGAGGGTGTTTGTGCATTGCTGGTTGAACTCTGTTCAGACTTTGTAGCATGTTCGATTTTATACATCTCCGGGACACCGTCTGGCAGTTCCTCAAATATGATGGGGGCTCTGGCTTGCCGCCGCTCAGCTGGTTGGCGGGAGGGAATTGGTGGATTACCAATATCCTTAACCTTTTCCTTCGCCTCTTTTATTGCCGCAATAGCTTTCCGGGTCCAAGTGGTATCATCACCGAAAAGCAATTCATCCTCCCGTTCCTGTCTCTCCAGATCTTGAATTTCCTTATTATACTGGGAGGTCATATAATCCTCACCCCCCTTCATAATATGGGCATAGTCGGGCACATCTGCAATATGATACCAGGGGATATCATCGTCGAGACTAATAGCCTCAACACCATCCCGTGGAAGAGCAAGGGTGCTCCGGGGGTGTCGCATAACCAATCTCAGAACCACATCGCCACCTTCAACGGGGAGGTCAGATTGTCCTATGTTCCAGCCTACTGGTCGTGTCTCTGATATGTAGATGGTATCCCAGCATATTGGGCATTTCTTCCACCGAGCCTTCTTTTCCGGGATGGGATTCGAATCATCAGTCGAGTGCATGAACCGGATAAGGCATGGCAAGCAAAAGACGTGCCCGCACTTAGCCATACGGGGAGCAATGGGGGTTGAGAGACAGATTGGGCAGCTGGCTGCTTGGGTATCAGTGGAGACTAATACTTGCAGAACTGAGTTCCAGTCAAGATGGACGTCAGCGTTGGTGGCTTGGGCATGGTAGCTGTTCTTTGGATTGACGATAAAACGATAATTTGCATGGACATATCTACATAACAAGCATCAGTAATGAAGGACTGATAACAAAAAAGAAGCAAGGTAAGATAACTAGGGAGTGGAGAGGGGGCCATAATAATTACCTAGCTTTATCAACTGCGTGGTGGCCAGAACGGGGTGCCCAAGTATGGTTCCGCCGTTGGCTACGAGGATACGAATGGTGATTATGCTGTGGTCGAGGAGGAAGAGAAAAGTTCATGAGATGAGTGATAGAGGTTTGCCCCTTGCGGCTCATTGTCGATCTCATCGCAGCCTACAGTCACTCATTTGACATATGAGTAATAGGATCAAGAGAGCATTTTAAAAGCTTCAAATAATACACAATTGATCAACAGAAAGGAATAATGACATACTGATTCGGCGAAGACATCCTCGTCATCCAGATGAGGGCGACGATGGCGCTTGTGCTGACTCTTCCTGGCCTGATTGTTCCGCGGAGCCGACAGAGACTTGGAGGAGGATGTTCCGGCAGCCAGACCGGCGTGGACTCTTCGTTGAGAAACGAGGTCAATGCCGGAGCTTGGGGCAGCTTGCAACGACGAAGAAGTCTGACTGGGGATATTGACAGGTTTTGACGGGGCAGAGGGTTGGCCTGGACCTGACGACATTATCTCTGGGAACAGGGCCACCAGGAGTGTCGTCACTGGACAAGATGAGGAGGGGATTTGCGTAGATAAGCTGATTTCAGTGAAGGAATGTCCTGGGGTGAATGTAGATATACGATCATATAACTCAAAGGGGGATGGAATTGTATGTATATAACTCCGAGTCCAACCAACTCTGCATGGACATAACTATAGATACGCAGGAGGAGTAGGGCAGGTGGAGGTGGAGGTGGAGAAGGTGGAGAAGAAGGAGAAGATGGAAAAGGATACAAGAAACCAACGCCAAAAAGCACAGCTGTAACTAGCCTGATAAAGGACAATGAGGATAGACAAGACCCCGGGGGGCCATTGAAGAGGAAGAAGAAGATGACCTTGAAAGTGGTCGAAGGCAGAAGGAAAAAGAAAAAGGAAAGCAGATGAAGATGAGATGAAGATGTAAATGTGAAGTTTAATCTGTTTGAGGGGGGAATGAAACGGTATGGTCACGTATGGAACAACATATATTACTAATACTCGATACATTTTATATGTTATTTCTGTAATATACAACTGTATGCAACCATCAATTACCATACCCTACAAGGACATGGTCTCTGCTGCTGACTCATCCCAGCTTGGGCCGCCCCAAAAGCAGCAGCAGCAGCAGGAAAAAAAAAGAAGAGAAGAGACAAACCCTTGGACGACAACAACAACAACACCATCACCACCACCACCAACAGCACCAACAGCAAACATCTGCTATATACGAGGATCCTGTATTCCAACATCCCTCATTCTGGATCTCTTGCTGCCTATAAATCTGTTTCTGCCTGTCCTTTGCTCCCCTTTGTTATCTGTCCTCTCCTCTTTGACTGCATTCTGAATATCCTTGGTCCTAAAAATTTTGCCCATTTGCGGCTGCGGCCGTGGTGAAAAAAAAAAAAAAAAAAAAAAAAAAAAAAAAAATCAAGATCTGCCTGTGTCTCTGCCTGTCAGTTTCCAACTTCAACCTTTCAACCTTCAACTTTCAGCCTACCACCAATATCAACCACACCCTTTCACAACCACCACCACCACCACCACCACCACAACTCCCAACCCATATACATCCATTATCTGTCATCTTTTGGCAATGGCTTTGTAACAACACCCTTCGCAAAGTCATCTCTTTCCTCCGCCCCCCTCCTCTCCTCGGCCCCCCCTTCTCTGCGTCCTGCGTTCCTCTGTATGGCTCCCATCTAGGTCAAGTTTGACTGTACGGTAAACGCAGTGACGCCCGTCCGCACCCTCTCCCACCCAAAACACCTCCTGGGGGCGCATGATGAACCATCATCTACCCCCAATGCCCCACGGCCAGACCCCTATCCCGCCTCCCAGAAGGCAGCATGACCTCTCCTACGTCTCTGGGCCGCCTGGCATCCGGCCCACTCCCGGCTACCTGCCCTACCACCCACCGCCACATGTTGCCCATACAAATCATACAAATCATACAAATGGCCCTCCACAGTCACAACCACAACCACCTCCTCCCCCTTCTTCCTACTCAACGCAACAGCAGTTCCAGCACTGGTATCCCTACCAACAAACCTCCCATCCGCCTCCTCCGCATCCCCAGCAGTTTCAACCCTATGCGCCTCTAATTGTCTCGTCCTACCCTCGGTCGCAACAGCAGCCCCCGCCGCCTGCGCTTCCTGGCCCTCCACCCCTTTCAGGACAAACACCATCAACAGCACATCAACAACCACCACAACAACAACCACAACCTCCACCGACAATGCTCCCACATATACCCCCTCAACCCAGTACTGCTTCATCAACCCCCTTACATTCTTCCTTCTCAACTCCAACGCCAACCCCTTTTTCCGCTCCAAGTTCAACCGTAACGGATAACAGCCACACGAACACTTCCGGCAATCCCTCCGTCGTCAAAAGCGCTCAGTCTGTCCGCGCAAATGCGCGCAGCATCAGCAGCAACAGCCCCGTGCCTCAGACTCCTGCACAACAAGCCACCCATACCCATGAACGGATAAAGTCTGCAACGCTACTATCAAGGCAGCTATTTCAGCCACCGGTAATTTAACAAAACCTTTTACATTGTCATTCCAGACATAAACATCCCAAGATCTCAAGGCTAACTCCAATACCTTTTCAGCTTCCTTGGCTTTCCGTACCTGAAACCCCCTTTCCTGCGAAGGCCCCGCGACGACGACGAAAACCTCGCATCCTTCAGACTTCTGCAATACCCGTCGAGTTCCCTACAAAGCCTGGCGACGCTGACGCGGAACCCCAAGAGAGAGCATCCCTCGAAGAACCGTTGAAGCTTGCTTCATCAAAAGCAGAACTAGAGACCTTTGCAAATTCTCAGCCCTCCTCCCAAACCGGTCTTAACCAACCTACTACCCCGTCTTCCACCATTGCTTCTTTTCAAACCTTAGCAAAAACAAAAATGCAACAAACTCCAACACAACCAGCCATCGCGAGGCAGGCAGTTACCCCCATCGTCCCCGTTGTGCCAATATTATTCTCTTCAAGTCCCAGCACAACAAAACACCCGTCTACCAACCCGGATAAGGGAACCTCAGAAACCTCAAAACCGGATGGATCCGCTCCAACCACATCCTCTGAGAACCAGTCGCAGTCAACAGCAAACAATGCGTCTTCATCTGTGGAAAATACCACCGCAACACAAGAATCCTCTACACCAGCTCCACCAGCTAAACCTCCTCCAAAGTCCTGGGCTGATCTTGTGCGCACTAAAGCCCCAGCATCGAGCGCTGACGCCGTCACCACCACTGCTGGGATTGGCTGTCTCGGTGTATCCAAGGGCGAATCTCTTTTCGATGTTATTAACAATCTAGGCTCTGATCCTTGTCAATACGGCAATAAAATTGCCTTTATTGAGCCGCGCGGGCTTGTAAATACTGGTAATATGTGTTATATGAATTCTGTAGGTGTTTTCCCTTTTCTCTCCTATCTCTTCAAACACAGCGGTTTTGCTTTTGATCCAGAGCTGACAATTCTGCTTAGATTCTTCAAATTCTGGTTTTTTGTGTTCCTTTCTATGAATTTCTTGACAAAATCAGTCGGCGTGCTGTTCATAGTATTAAGAGCGAGCTTCCACTAATTGATGCGATGTAATAAATCCTCTTACTACCCAGGCTCGAGTTATTTTGTTTCATCTCCGCTAACTCTTTTTCCCTCCTCCAGGATCATGTTTATGAGAGAATTTCGGGTAATTGACGCTGCAACATCCGTTGAGAAATTGAGGCTGCGTTTGAAGCAAAATGAATTAGAACAATATGGCGAGTCATTCATTCCGGAATATGTTTATCAGGTTATTCGACGTCTTCCCCGCTTTAGGGACATGCGGGTAGGTCTTTCAATTTTTTCTCCTAAAATAAAGGTCTTGTCTGGAACTAATATCCAAAAGCGCGGTCACCAACAAGATGCGCAAGAATTTCTTGGTTTCCTTCTAGAAGAGCTCCACGAAGAATGCACCCAGGCAGTTAAACAAGCCACATCCACTGGACCTGATATCCCCACACACGTGGACACCGATTCGGCATCCGCAGCCTCCGAACCCTCCGTAGAAGGATGGCTAGAAGTCGGCCACAAACAAAAACCCTCCATAACACGCTCATCAGGCCACGTTGCCTCCGAATCCCCCATCACAAAGATATTCGGCGGCAAACTGCGCTCCGAATTCCGCGTCCCAGGCAACAAAAACTCCGTAACCCTCGAACCCTACCAATCCCTTCAACTAGACATCGGCTCGCCGCAGGTAACCAACATCATCGATGCGCTGAAGGGCCTCACAAAGCCCGAAACGATGCAAGGCGACTTCAACTCCTCCCGTGGTCCCAAAGTAACTGCTACAAAACAAGTGTTCATCGAGACCCTGCCGCCCGTACTCATACTGCATCTAAAACGTTTCCAATACGACAGCGTAACCAAGGGGACACAGAAGATCTGGAAACGGGTCGGGTACCCGCTCGAACTCGAGGTGCCGAGGGAGGTGTTTCCACCACATCGGCGGAATAACTTGCTCTCTGCGCAGGGTAGCGGAGGCGGTAGTGGATTACCTAAATACCGCCTGACGGGCGTGATATATCATCATGGTAAGAATGCTAGTGGGGGCCATTATACGGTTGATGTGCTGCGCCAGGATGGACGGGAGTGGGTGCGGTTGGATGATACTGTTATTCGGCGGGTAAGGAGTGAGGATGTTGCGGTTGCGGGTGCAGGGGTTGGGGGTGAGGAGGATTCGAGAAATCTTGCTGCGGCGCTTGAGATGCAGAGTCGGGGTGGTGGTGTTGGTGCGGGTGTGGATAGGTATGGGAATATCTTTGAGAGGTTTGGGATTGATGGGGTGGAGGGGGAGGAGGGTGAGGGCGGGGAGAGTGAGGTTGGGTGGAGTCAGGTTAATGGAAATGGGGCGGGTAATGGGGCGGGCAGTGCTGGTGCTGGTGGGTATGGGTATGGGAGCAGGAGGTTTGGTGTGAATGGGAGTGTGTCACCGGCTGGGAGGGAGGAAGAGTCCGGGAAAAGGACGCCGAGAAGTCGGTTTGCGGCAGTGGCGGCGGGGGGAAGAAGGGATAGTAATAAGGTTGCGTATTTGTTGTTTTACCAGAGGATTCATGGGTCGGTATAGGGTGTCCCGATCTTCACCTGTCTACCAATCCACTGTCATCAGTGATTACTCCTGCTACTTACGCTACCTTCTTACGCGATTATCCGTTTTCGGTTTCTTGCTTCCCGCTTCACCCGCTCCTCCATCTCCTCCATCTCCAGCTTCCCGGAGCTTTCCCATTTCCCTACTTTACCATATACGCATATCTACCTGATACCTCGACATTAACTAACCATTCAAGCTTCAGCCGTGACCCAGAAAAGGGGGAGTCGCGACGCGAGTCCTACACAATTTAAAAATATCATTTATGACCCATCCACCCTCTCTCTCATCCATCTAGCCGTCATCCCTTACCTTTCTCATCATCAACCATCGTTATCTTCCCCCACCATTCTCATCATCTAATTTATCTATTTATACCATCCGCAAAAAAATATGAGAGATATATCTACTTTCCCGCGTTTCATTGCTGTTATTTGTTAAGCTAAGGTCGAGGGAGTGTGTGCGTGTATGTATGTATGTATGTATGTATATATTGTGTTCATTTCCTTATATCCTACCCTACCTCCCTATCTGCTTATCTACCTATCTAAGCGTATAGACATAATATGTCTACATTACATACCCGGCTTTACCTGCCCTATTTCATCCTACCCCATCCCATCCAATCCTATCCTTTGTGAGGGCATGAAGGCTTAAGGTGCGTTATTTTGGACCCTTTCCTCACTTTTTTCAAAAACGTCTTTTTATTTATTTTGTTGTTCATAGTGTGGAGGCTTTTAGTCGAGACAAAACTGCCGTGAAAAGGGAGAAAGGAGGAGAAGTGAAGAGAAGAGAAGAGAAGAGACTTAATAAAGGGGAAGGGGAAATTATAAATGTTGTGGAAAAGATTGTTATGGTTTTGTTCACCTTTGGTTTCTTGCTCTCTCCCCATCAACCCTCTCCCTTTTTTCCTCTTGTGCCTAATTCATTTCGTCGTCTTTTTTACTATTCTTTTTGATTCCCCTAAAATTATTTTGAGATAATTTCACCATTCCCTACACACACACACACACACACACACACACACACACACACACCAACCCTTCTTTCCCTTTTATTAAAAACAACCTTCTAAAACTTCTTAATCATCGCCCTGCCCAAAAGTCCAAGAACACATCTTTTTATTTACATCTCTAGCCCGTGTCTTTCGCAGCAGAATTGGCATTGGTAGAAGAGCGTTGTCCGTTCTCCGTTCCGCTTCATATTGATTTTTGTTTTTGTGCAGAAAGGTCGGATTGAGAATTAAGAATTGGGAGTCGAGAGTCGATGGTCGATGGTCGATGGTCGAGTGGTTGGGAAGAAGTAAAGGAGTATTTGAGAATCTTAAAAAGAAGAGATTAGCGACATATACCATTTGTTATTTTTTCTTTCCAGCGATTTATATATGATATATGTTTTAGCCAAGTGGCCTTTTTCTTTGCCTATGTTATGATTTTCAATAATGAGGTTAGACGTTCTGTTGTAGGTAGATCATGGATTGATTCGTTTAGATTCTGTATCTTCCTGGAGATTTCTTTGATTAACGATCCTGCTTCCCAACGAAAAGGGGCTGCGTTGGTTGGCAATAAGCAACAAGCACCCGAGCCCTCATCCAAAAATAAATAAAAACCAACATCCACCGTTCTGACAAGAGTGAGACTCGAACTCACGAGGGTTTCCCCATACCGGCACAGGAAATCCTTTATTTGGGAATTTCCAAGTGTTCATGTGACTTGAACGGTACGCCTTAACCACTCGGCCATCTTGTCTTGATTTACTCTGTTAGGAAGGAAGTGGTGGAAGATAGTTAAGAGGTAAATGTGACTTTTTGTGGCAAGCACCGGAGATCGGACTTGTGCGTGACGTTGAACCTTTGCTTGAACAAGGGAAATTTTTCATTGCTACTTTAAAACCTTGTTCAAAAGAGACCGTGTATATAGTTAAACATATTTGCCCTTCCTGATCCTTATTCATACTCAATATGGACTGCACTGGTAGAATCGGCTAGGGCAAGCACAGATGCTACGTTGATCAGCACTTCTCTCAAACAGACATGACGGAGCGGTGAGGCAGGGAAGGGAGCAAAAAGGTTGATCACTCCGCTCCAGGTTAGTAGTGACTTGCGCAAATTGATGGTGCTGGATGGCATGATATGTATATACACCTCTCCGAGCTGTATATAGGAAAGTCGATATCCCCTTTCTAGCCTTTAAACACGGAACCAATGCTGTATACAATGTTCGGCGTGTCGTGCCATCTACTCCTAAAATGATGGTAGTTAGTAGTAAATGGGGTAGATGTCCAGGCATTTTCCGAGACATCAATAGTTAGAGAAATTTAGTGCCACGCATTCCCAATAGGCGCATATTTTGCTTCAGCAGCTTCTGCGAACGACTGTCTGATCTCATCTCGTTGTAAATCAAGGTGCTGATGACTTTACACCGCAATTCCAGAGAGAAAAAGCATAGTGGCTACCCGCATTGACGCAATATAGTCTGGAACCAATGCTAATTTGAAAAAAAAAAAAAAAAAAAAAAAAAAAAAGAGTTCGCCTGGGTCACGAAGAAGCTGATATTAATTTGTGTGGCGGAGCTACTCCGTATTGGAGTTGTATCTCGGATAGCGGAAGGCGAGGTGCTTAGGTTTGATGGGATGGCGGCGTTATTTGTAATATTGCAGCATTCGCCTCCAGAGCAGGAAAGCAAGGGGATGAGGATGGAAACCTTGGGGGCCATTTAATATATCTAGGTAAGTAGATAGGAAGGCTGGAATAGAATGTCACGTCAAAACTCCGCTCCGCCCGTGGAAGTTGACACGTCCAGCTCATCTTCCTTGAGACCTGCTCTAGGTCGTTGGGGCGTAGTTAGGTGGCTGGACCATGCAAAACTCCTCACAAGCTTCTCCGAGGGGTTGCTGGGCAAGAAGTAATTGAGTTGGAACCATATCCCATATTGCCATTTGCATCGTTGAAACCCACTAGCAACCAGCTCCTCAGCTCGATCTGGCGGAGATCTTGCATCATACCGCACCATTGGAACCGCAGCTCCTCAGGCCTTGCTTGTCTTCTATGTCTTCATATTTTTTGAGTGTTCAAATGCTGGCCTGTGTCATTGTGAAAGATCTGCAATCAGAACATTCCTTGATTTCAGGGACTGTGAAGCCTGCACAAGCAAGATGATTTTGCTCTCACATTTCTCTCAAATGATGAAAGCTTCAGTGCTCCAGTGACAAAGGATAAGAGAGCAAAATTAGTAACTTATGATATCTCAAACACAACTTGATATTTAGATTCAAAGATTGCATCTCTGAATCTCACTAAGTTGTGATCAAACAACAATTCATTCAGATCAGACTCATGTCATTCGCCAATCGGCTGTATTAATGCATACAAATAGATCTTTGTCACTCACAGTGTTATTTAATAACTTCATATCCAACTCTTCCAGGTCAAACTTAGGCCTTTTCCCCTAGAGTCATGTGTGCAGCAACTGGGCTCTGCTGGAGGCCCGGAGGGGTTCATCGCAGGGAGGCTGCAGCCAGTCCAGTCCACATCTCTGATTCCCTCATCCGTTGAACAAAGTCGAATAAACTCCATCTACACAACATCCAATAAAGCGTCTGAGTCAAGAAGTCTTCGAAAAAAATAAAAATAAAAATAAAAATAAAAAATAAAACTAAAAATAAAAACGAGATGCCCTGATTCCAACCCGATCGTCAAATGTAGGGAGTGCAGTAAGTTAGGTGGATATAATTGATTAAAGTTAAATGTAATTCCCCACCCTGACAGACACTTAACGGAGTGAGATCACAAAATTCTAAAAAGCATATTCTATATATTTTAACCTGAAATATCTACATTTAACAGCAATTAAAATGGCACCAAATTGAAATATTTTTATATGCTTAATTGTATCACAATTAGCTGTATTTTTGTGATGCTCTTAAACATGATCTAGAAACTTGCTACTAGTTGTATTAGAAATTGAATAATAAATTATTTAATAGACTTAGTAAATAAAATAGAAAGTTAAACAGCTTTATTGTAAATAAATCTTCTTTGTATTGAAAAAAAGCTTGTAATTAGATTTTTTTATATTTTTATTTATCTTTTTTATTTATAATCAATATATTTTATTATTATTATTTTTTATTATTATAATATTAATTATTTTATATTTATAAAAATTGATAATTTAATTAAACTTATTTCTTAAACTATAAAATAAAATTTTAAACTTTTATAAATTTTAATCTTATTTGTTTTTTAATTAATAACTATAACTAAATTATTTAATAAATTATCTAAAAATAAAATTTTAAATTAAATATTTAATTACTGAATAATTTAACTATGTTAATTTTAAAATTTTTATTTCAATAGTTATAAATTTTATTAAATATTTTAAATTTAAAAACCTTTATAAATACTATCAAATAAATATTTAAAAAATTAGTTTTCAATAACATTAAAAATAAGTTATATTTATTTATTATTATTGTTATTATTATTTTATATTTATTTTAAAATTATAAAAATACTTATATAAAAACCATTAAAAATAAAATAAATATATAAATATATAAATAAAGCTATTATATTTATATAAATTTAAATTTAAATATTAATAATTATTATATTATTTAAAGTTTTAAATTATTTTAAATGATTTTTTATTTTACATTTAACTTAAATTGTGAATTATAGCATCTGAAGTATTTTCAAGCTCTGTATTTAATCAGTCTTGAAATTCGGTTTTTATCAATTTATAATGAAGATCTAATAGAATTTTATATCGAGAGAAGTAATATTCTTCACAGCCTGAGCCAATCTTTGCCAAGTTTGACATATTAAATAGATGCACAGATTCACACATTGAGGGTTTTTATCATTTAAAATAGCATTTATTGTGGGTTCAAGTCTTTCCTCTTGTTCAATAGAATTTCTTGCATTTCCTTTTTAATGTGATTTGGTGGCTTAATTGCATGTTGAGGTAGGAAATTGAAGATACTTAGAATTTGGCGTCTCGGTCGGCAAGAAAGCACGTTAACTAATGGTGTTTGTGAAAGAATCACCAGGAAGAAAGCTGTGCCAATGCGGGAGACATCACAAACACAACAGGCAGCATTTGTTCAAGAGAGCAAGATTTCCCATGACTGTTCGAATGAGAGAGCATTTGGTTCCAAATCGTGCAAGTCGGGCGGAGCAGGAACCAGCCCAGAGCGTCAAAGTGGGGATTGTTCGTGATCAATAACCAAGGTTAAATAACTATTTCCTTTGATATACTCGATAATATGAAAAGCCAACGCATCATTATCATGTTCATAAGATCGGAAAAAGGAACCTTAGAAAAGGAAGAGGGAAAGGAGCAAACAAGATCAGGGTTTCACAGTATGCGATATATTTACTTGAGCCTGTGGCCCAGGATCCTTGTAGCTGTCGACCTGCGGTGTACCACACGGGAACTGCAGAGTGCTCTTCAGGAATAATAATTAATACATCCAACGGGGAGGATAATTCAGTGAAAACCCTTCGGTTGCTACAACTGATTCGCCAAGATAGAATTCCCTGACTAGGCCACTACATCCATGGATAGACAGACCTACTGAACCGTGGAGACTCCGATATTTGGCGAGAGCATTTCTCCCACCCGGGTCCACCGTCATGACCCAGGGATATTTGGTTATTTAACTTAAGAAGGGAAAATAATATGAAACTGAACATGATTCAAACTCGCGGGTCCGGCACGGCGGGGGGGCCATTCCATTCTTCTCTGCCGCTCTGTGAATTAATCCGTATTTCAGCAGCTTGTTAAATAATTATTGGATGCGTGGGGAAAGCCAGGGCTTTAAAGACAGGAGAATGCGGTCTGGTTGTTACATCCCGACTCATCGGTCCACAGTGATTCCAGAGCATCATTTTAAGAAATCACTGCACTTATTATCGACACTGGTAACTGTTTTATAGCTATTTATAGACAAAGCTCGACCTGATAAATGGTGGTCCTATGCATCTTCAATACTTCCCCCCTTCAAGGATATGATATGAGGGAAAGCTGCCCATGAAATCAATATATGTGTCGTTTCTTGAATCTCATGCTGAGCGAACCCTTGCTTCGAGGATATTAGTTGGCAATACTGCATCTTGTAACCTTCCAGCCTATTCCCTGCTCGTTTTTAAATTAGGGATAAGATAATCAGATTGGCTCTGTGTCCTGAAAGCCAGTCCAAGGGGTAATTCCGCATTTCTAACTGGCTGGGAAATTCTCGTCCTTCTATGCCCTGAATTCCTGGAATGACAACGGATCCATGGAAATCGCCCGTTCCTCCGTCCGACAGCTGCTGATGTCTGATTTGCTTTAAGGCTTCCCCGCTATACCAGGGGTGTTTTGAACAGGAAAAAAAAAAAAAAAAAAGGGCAGAATTCAGTGCCATCGTAGCCTTAAAGGGGCCTTGGAAAGCCAATCTGCCTTCACGGTAATAGCAGCAGACGGTTGGCTGGTAACCATATTCCTCAACCATTAAACGCTCCTCTTTGAGTCGTCTCTGCCCCCGTCCTTGTCCTCGCTTCTCTCATCTTCCTCCCCCCAATCCCACGCCTTGTTTCGCTTTGAGGAGCTAGCCCCGGAGGCTAATTGAATCCATTTCTGGCACCGCCTCCCAGTAGTAACACCCAATCCAACCCCATCTCGTCGCTCCATCCCATCATTCTTGCGTCTCTCCGTCGTTTGATTGTCGTATGTTGTTGTCGTCGCTGCCACCGATCCATCCATGACAGCACCCCCTTTGCCGTGAATACTCATCCGCGATACCTTAGCAAGGAGAGTCGAATCCTTCTCCTACCTGCGACTCTTTTTCATTGCATCCCCTTACTTCCTCGGCCTGTTGTTTCTTTTCAAGGGTGGTTGAGCGTCGTTTGTGTTCGAGTGTGCAGTGTGTTGCAGTGTATTTACTGTCCTGTCCTGCCCAACTGCCCGCATTGTTGTTTGGCAACATTTCCTCCCACTTGGAATCGATCGTTTCTCGCAGCAATCCCAATCCATCCACGAAAACTCCAGCTTCGATAACCTGACAAAATCCAACTAGTGGTGAGTCAGCCCGAACAGGTTTTTACGGCTTAGCGACGGTGACACTTGGTGACAGCAACCAAGGGGAGATTAATCCAGTACACTCCATCGATCCACGATGGGAACGAATCAATTCGGCAAATTTCACGTACGACCCAATCATTCCCGATACTATGCTCTCTCTCTCTCTCTCTCTCTATATATATATATATATATATATATGCTTCTACTACCTCTAATTTAGCCTGCTGACATTTACTGGTTGGATGCCTTAAGGACCTCTGTCGAGACGCGACAATCCCAGTATGCAACGTATGTATAGCTCTAGCAACCCATTCGCCCTGATTCAATTAGCCATCGATGTATCAGCAACGGATTATCTCATTGTTATACACACAGCTTTTGGTTGCGGATAACCAGCCTCCAAACGCGAAATACGGTGGATGCGCCCTTACGGGGATCCGTCTGAGTGGTGGCAGGAACCTCTCGAACCTGGGTACGATATGAACCCAATCAACCATCCAACCGAACACATTGAAATGGGGAGATAGAATGCAGAACACGGAGTGGAGAGGACAAAGAATGCTGACGGTGAAATAAATCAATTGTGAACATGAACAGGAGTCATTCTTTTTGCGGCGATCGCCATTATGCTCGGCGCCTTTTTAATATGGAAATCCGAATTGAAGAGAGCTGCAGTGGGACGAAGGTACAATACATACAAAATGCTCCTATAATGATGCGATGCGATGCGATGTAATCGATCGTGATAAGATGTGTAAACTCGAGAAACTAACTCAACCTCTGCGACTTCTTCTTTTCAGGGAAATACAAATATTCCTAGCGGGATACATTTTAATTCAGATCTGCGAAATCTTCACCATTGGCGGCATCCCTCTAAATGACGAGGTCAGAAGAGTATGCTTGAGCCGACACCTTCTCTCGCCCAAACCATTCATCGATGCAAGAAACATACTAACAACGCCTGTGTTTTCGGCTAGGGATTTACCGCTGTCCACCTAGCTGCCATCACCGCGACCGCATGGATATTACTCCTCAACGCCGTTGTTGGATATCAGTTGCTTGACGACGGCACGCCTGTTTCAGTTGGTCTTCTCATGTCGTCTGGACTTATCCTATTCATAGGCACGGGCTATATCGCTCTGGACACCGCTTTCCGATGGACCGGGCACTTCGACTCGAGCCTCGGCGGTAACAATCGAAATGTAGGGCTCTACGTTCTATATCTTCTATTCCCCCTAATCTGCATCGTAGCCTTCTTTGCTCTGGAAGCTGTACTGGTTGTGCGAATACTGGGTGAGCTAAGACCTTTACGTATGTATTATCCCTCCATCCATATGTGTAATTTACCTAATCCTTCCTCCAACTCATCCACACACCTCTCCCCATAAAGCTCAATTGAACTAGTCAACAAAACTCTTTATCTTGCTACCCGTGATTATGCGCCTTGTGGGACATTGTTCCAGCTAACTTTCTCTGTCTTTGATATAATCAGTGTACCTTTCCACAGCAGGCCTGCTTTTCGCCATTGGTCAAATCTTTCAATTCGTCGTCAGCACCCATCTATGTCAGGTATCCAACGGGAAAATAAACGGGTCCATGTTCGCGACTCTCTTCACGGTTCTTTCTGTAGGTGCGGTCTGGGTGTTCTGGAGCAGCATCACGGAAGATGACTGGCCGATGACTATTGGGGTTGGAGGGTATAACTAAATAAAGAGATATGATGGGGGGGAAAATTTTAACAAAAAAAAAGTGAAAATACAAAAAGAAGTGATAAAAGTGCAACCAGGCACTTTTAAAGGATATGAGAGAATGGATGAAATGCGGGGTTTCACAATGCACGAGAGGGGGAAAGAGAGGGAGAAACATTGCCCATTTGCATCCTAAGCTTGGACACGGGGAGAAAAAAAAATATCTGCAAAAAACGAACCCAAAAATTATATAACGGAACGCGATACAGTGCAAATCATGAACTTCTTTGGTTTATCTAACTCCTCCACCCCGACCCACGGTTTGGGTTCGGCTGGATTGGGAAAAAGAGAGTAGGAAGGAAAAGAAATGAAAAGGAATAAACAGGAGCAGCAGCATATCGCTTGTTTCGGGAGATATTTGGCTATTCTGAGATACTCAAAAGATTTATTTGATCATGCGGTTTTATGCTTGCTTGCTTCGTCCCGGATACTTCTCAGTTTCGCCCCATTCCACTTTCGTTCGATCCTACGCATTCCGTTCTTAGCGTTTTTCACTATTGTCGTGGAAGCTGTCTCTTGATCTTCTTTCGCGATATTCCTGTATAATCGAACTCTGGATACCCCGTCCTGCCATCTTGTGTCAGCTGCCTCTGGACTGTCCTCCCCTTCCCCCTCCCAGTTTTGTCTCCTCTTTTGTCTGTGTTTTCATTTTTTTTTTTTTCTATGATATTCCTTTTTCTTCTCTCCATCGAATTATGCCTTGGTATGTATGGAATATCCATACCTTTTTTGCTGTTTATCTGTTTTTGTTTCTTTGTCTTGGTTTTTACTGCTAAGCAAATCTTCTACTCCTTGATGTTTAAAAGATATCCCCACCTCACCCCTGGAACATGTATACACGTTTTCCTCCGTCCCTTAACATTTAACGCCGTCTGTTCTTCCTCTTTAATCGTGACTTATTCTTTGCACTTCATATTTTGTCTCCCTGACTGCTATCCCCTAACTAACCGACTACACTCCGACCTTTTCTTCTCTACCTACCTACCTACCTACCTACCTACATGACATACCTATCGTCTTTCTTCTACAATTCTTCATTGTACAATTTTTCCTACCTTTTCGGATCCCCGGACGGTGCGGCACATTATATTTTTTGTTCTTACGATGATAATTATAAATGAGAGGATAATGGGAATGACGGTCAGACCTCGTGAGGAAAATAAAACGTTGTTTTGTTCTTATCTTTACCTTCATATTTACAAAGATTATGAGGCTTCAAGTTACCAGATTGTCAACAAGATATCAGTTGCTGCTATCAGGGTAATTATCTGATTCGTCCTGGGATTGGCATATTTTCCCTCTCACCTCATATATCTCTCGGCTTCACGATGTGATTTTGGTGGATCATCTTCATATACAAATAGAGATGTGATTCCATGGATATAAAGAGCTTCCAGGACAAAAAAAAGTACATCATGATTCATACAGAACAGCATCTGCAGTGTCTCCCCAGGTGAGTTGTGCAGATCCCATTTTGTACGGCATTCTTGAGAAGTGTCGTTACACACACCTTGGGCACTTTCTCCATTCTCATTCTCAGAAAACAGCATGGTTGATATTTGAGCTAGTTTAACTTGCATTGACTGCCAGTAATGCGTCGTTCAATGGGGATTTCGATCCTTTCAAGCTGGCAGAATAAGCTGGGCATGAAACATCCCCCTTAGCAAAGCAGTCTGAATGTCGAAGGGAGAGCGACGAGCTGTGAAAGCGAGCCACAGCTCTAAAGACAAATTTTGGATCCCGGGAGAAAGATTCAAGGGTCCTTTTAGACAGGAAGAAGCCCTCAGGTGCTCAGGAAATTGGAGGTTCAAGGGAATTATTTGCCAGCATTCGGGCTACTTCTCCGACATTGAGTCAATTAACCATGAATTCCACGCTCACCCCTTTATCTCGAATAAAAGCTGGCTTCTCCCGCAGCTTCAGTATTTTCTTTCTCTTGTTTCTAATATCTTCGTAACAACTCACCCAGTCTGTACAGATAATGGGCCTTGGAATCTTCAACGTACCGGGAACTGACCAACTAGCCAACTCTTAGCAATAAATATATATATATATTTGGTTGTAAAGAAAATCGCTCCTTTCCAAACAATGAAGCTCTTCTTTCTCGAAAACCCGTGTTGTATTTGTATTTATATCAGGTTCTTCGGCGTTTCGCTCACTATGAGAATTATATTTACGGCAAATTTAAATATCGCACGGCTTAGCAGCAATAATGAAAACCCCCAGAACGGCGAGGTCGTCTGACTTCAGACTCCTCGAAGATAATAATGACAAAGTAGTTACTGTCCAGCCATTTACCAATGAGCTGCATGCTTTCGAATTGTTGGGGGCTGGCAACCCAAATGACAAGGGACACCATTATGTCCCATCTTATTTGGATGTATATACCATTAATGTACCCAACGGGGAACACCTGTGTATTGTGATAGAGACAGCTGGCTGTCTTGTGGCGAGATTCTGCAGGTTCGCTTGGACCTTTGCGCCCCCCCTGAAAAGCAAGGACGATTACATCCCAATTTCTTCATGGGCTGGATTATATTCATTCTTGCGGAGTCTTCCACCAACGTCAGTAGGTTTTAGTGTCTGGATGATCCCAGTATTATGACGCTGAAATGACATTAGGCTTACATCACTGCAATATCGAATCCTCGAACATTGAGGACATCCATCGTCAGCTCTGGGGACCGACAAACATATCCACTGAGAAGGAAGAGTCTCGCAGAGTTCGATACGTCGTCTCCCCTATCCAATTAGAATTTAGCGTGGAATGCTTTTCATCTCCAGCTTGAAATCGTGTTTATCGATTTTGACGTATCCCTTGTCTCGGATCCCCCCCTCCCCCCAGTGTGGATATCCCGAATATTGAAGAACCTGTCACCGCTCGATTCCGACAACATTCCCCATCCAACTCCTCATGGGCTTCAAAAGGACATGTGGATGGGCGCTTCGACGGCATACTATCTTCTCTGTGGTCACGATTTATTTCAAAAACAATTTACCAGTGGTGATATTTTCTTGAATGTCATACATAGTCTCGGACACTTGTCACTTCCGCACGTTCGAGAAGCGGGAAAAGGAGAGTGATGATATCTTACGCCAGGAAGATGGTAGCTTGTCAGAGCCACTGACGAATACCGTTGAATTGGCGTGGGCGATACGGCCTAGAACTCTGAGGGAAAGAATATCTAGTATATTTCCGGCCTCGCGAAACGGATCCTGTTGAGGCTTCATGTTTGCATATGCTGTTGAAAACTATGTTGGAATATGAACCGGACAAGCTCGTAGACATGGCTGAGGTGACCCAGTTACGTTGGATGAAGAGATTTGATGGTCCAGCTTTGAAGGGAATTGGAAAGGGGCTGGTGGAAGAGAAATCAATCTGCACAAAGTGAACAACAGTGTAAAACCGCAACACTTACAACAGCATCACAGTTTTATCTTGTTCACAGGCCAGCAACGAGGAGAATGGATGAATTCAGGGGGTAGGGGGGGGGGGGGGGGGGGGGTGAGTTGAGTTTTCGATGCGAGAAGAAAGCTTTAGAGATGCTTTCGTGTTATGCTATATTGAGAGGATATAATCCCGTTCTGCAGCAGCAGATATCCTCGGTCTGTCATTGCAACACCTGGACTGAGTAAAGCAGAAGACCATGGATCTATCTTACATCCTATATCATGATCCTACATTCCCACATTAAAATTACAGCGTCCAAATATATTTGAAATAGACTATAGTTAACAATGGAACCGGTCAATGCATTCATTCAGCAATTTTAAAATAAGTACACACAAGTCGTATCAATAACATAATGCACACATACGTGACATACATCAAAGCCTCTGAAATCACTTCCACCAGCCCCTCCCCGCCCCGCCCCGCCCGGCCACACCCCTAATCGGAAACAATTTCTCGTCCCCGCGTTCCCCCCCTCCCCTTCTTTGCCTCCTCCCCAATCTCTTAATCCCCCTTCTTCTTACTGAAAACGCCACTCCCAACCCAATACCTCCAATGCGTCCAGGCAGGCCACATGCACACAGCCTCGATATTATTGCCCATCGGATCCAACACGAACGAGGCGTAGTAAAGTTTGTGATACTGCGGGCGTGGCCCAGGCGGACCATTACATTTTCCACCAGCCTCTAGAGCCGCAGCGTGAAAAGCGTGGACGAAGGCACGGTCTGAGCGGCGATGGTGAGCATGGGGTTTCAGGGGAAATGCATTATATATATATATATGTGGAAACGGAGCAAGATTGTATAACTACGTACTATTGGTATCAAACGCGACATGAACCGGATTCTTTGACACATCGCCATCTTCTCCTCGGTTATAGTCTTCTGCTTTAACGCCCGTGATCCAGAAGTCAGGATAATACACCCCTAAGCCCACGACGTTTTCCACAGGCCGCATGTGCTCTTTATATCCCAGTGGAGCCAGGGCGGCCTTGTAGAAGGCGACAACTTCTTCGAAACGGGCTGCAGGCACGCAGAGGCCAATATGGGAAAGACCCATTGTTTTTTTGTTAGTTAGTTGGATTTTGTTTTGTTACTTTGTTATTATATGGGGTATAGAGGTTGGAGATGGGATGACGGGTATTGGGAGTTGATGTCGACGTAGTGTGGGTTTTGAAAGTGAGGTTGGGAAGGAGAGCTGTTATATATAACTAGAGCTGCTCTCACTCACTGCCTGCCTGCATGGGTTAATAGCTGCGTACGTTAGTGACAGCTGTAAGTTTGGACGAGTTGAGTCTAGATATAATGTGTTAGCCCTGTCTGGAGGAGCCGCTCTCAGAGCTGTCGGGCGAGATTATCCGCATCCTGAACTGACAATGTACCCTCCCCTCCTTAAAACAAGATTTCCAGCTGTGCCTTGATGATTGGCCGTCTGCATGGGGATTTGCCAATCAGGATCGCCGCTGAGGATTGGGATCGGACGCCTTCTGAGTCATCCTCGTATTTTCCTTGCGGTAATAGTTATTTCTTCAAGACATTGAAGCGTCCTTCTTTCACCGAGATCAAACCTGTTCCGTTGGTCGAATCTCGAAGACTGTGACTCCAACACAAGGTATAGGCTTATTGTCCATGTATTAACTAATACGCAGATTCTCTTCAAGGCTTTTCAAAGCCAAATTTGAAGTTGATGGCATTAACCTGGGATAATCATATGAACGAGCGACAGCCCATCAAAGCAAGAAACATGTGTGACGGATAAAATAAAAACATCGGAGTTAAAACCCGCAGAGAAAAATAACCATTTGCACTTCTATTCCTCATTTTTGTTGTTTTTTTAGGATACTTCTTCTCTTCTGAAAGAAAAGAAAGAGAGATATAAGAAATTGAAAAAAGAATTAGCAGCACGCTGCAAAATAATTCTTCGCAACGCATCATCCATCAGATCAAAAATCCTTTTGAACATCCCGTTTAGCCATTATCCCAGTTCCACCAATATCAGTCCCAAATCGAGCCCAACTAGCCAGTAACAACCGACATTGATACAAAATAAGGAAGTTTTAAAGTAATCTAAAGTAAACACAAGGGTTTCCCCATCTAACTCCGCCATCCTCTTTTTCATCGCTAAAGTACACGGATTTCAAAGTACAGCATGAATAAGAAAGAATGGAAGAAATAGGTACGTTTGCAGATGGTTGATGAAAACTAAGCTTGATGAAAGGCATTAGGGGGGTAGAAGGCAGTTCGGGGAAACGGGGCCGGGAAATTAAGATACAAGCGTGACACACTTCAAGGGCGACGTCGGATCATCCAGAGACAACAAACAAGATAGGATTCTGCGAAAGTAGCGCAGGTCAGCAGAATCTACAAAAGGGCTAGCAAGACATATTAAGATCGTAGGAGCTGATGTGCCGGGTTTGCTGGTGCTCGACAGTTGTATTTATTATCCTATCAAATTAATTACACGTCTCTGTTCCGGAAAAAAAAAATCCGACCAAGCAGACCATGCAATTTATCGGTTATATTAGATTTGCGATTCAGTGACGATCGATTAGAAGATTGTGGTCTCAACAGCTAATAAGATAATTAAATTGAATCAGAGAGCCGGAGTTTCAAGAATGCTGTTGTAAGCTTCTTCAACCTGAATTCACTGGTTGTGTGCTTGGAGGTCCCTGGCCCATCGGGTTAAACGAGGAATCCGGCGGAGGATGGGATCATGAGGAGTGTTCTCCGCAATGGCCATATAAAGAGCTTCAAGGCGTTGGATAAGAACATCCATGATTTTCGGTGCGACTTCATAGATCTCGGGATCCTACGTAGTAACATTGTGTTAGCAACACGGAACACGTTCGCTGTGTAATCGTGGATTTGTAAGAAATTGTAGAATTACCTTGATATTAACAGTCTGGAAAACAAGTTCAAGCCAATTGAGACGATCCATCACGTTTGTTTCAAGAGACGATGTCACAGCGGCGCTGACAGAAAGAACTACAAGCGGTGAGAGTTTGGCAAGATATGAGGGATCAAAGTTGACAAAGAGGTTGTTGAAAAGATCTGCTTGATGGGATGATTGAATCCACTGCATTGACATAACCTATTAGAGGACTGGAAAACGTTGTGAACTATCCAAACAAAAAAAAAAAAAATGAATTGGTAACTTACTCTAATAGACCCTTCCTCGTATCTTGCACTATTCATAAGGCTGCGGATTTCCTCCAGCTCGATCTGTTCTGGGGTCGATTCTGCTTGAGCGGGTGGAACCTTACTTCCAACCGTAGTTGGGCCGGAAGATTTTTGGGGCGACTCCGCCTTTGCTCCAACCTGACGATTGAGCTCTAAGATTTCACTTTGGAATTGAGATTGAGCAGCTGCCATGACTGAAACAGTCTCGGACAGTGAGCGAACAAGGGTTGTAAGCTGATCGATTTTGGTGCTAAGCTGCTGTTGTCGCAACTCATACTGGTGTAGCTGAGCGACAAATTGTCTCTCAATTTCCTTGGTCGTCAATCTCGTTTGCTGGATTGACTGGATTGATTCTTCTCTGAATGATGGGATTATCTTTTCATGAAGAACCCTAGAAATGTCTCTCTCCACACGGGTTGAAACGGAAGAAGAAATCAAATCAGAAATGCGACTCAGCACATTTTCATTCAGGACCGTTTTCTTTACAGCTGCTGGGAGAAGTTCTCTCATAGCATGTGGAACCACAAAATCAAGCTGTCGGCCGAGCCCCTCTTTTATTTGCTGGTCCATAGACTTGGTCGTTGTTTCAAGAAGTGTTGGTACAACCGTCGTCTGGACATTGTTGGCAATAATGCGGGACAAATTCTTCTCCACATTGTCAGAGAGGGTTGACGAGACAAGCCGCAAAACTGCATCTTGCTTCGCATTAGCAGCCTGGTCTTGCGTACGACGATCCTGATCAAAGCGAGCATACAAGGAATCCATCTCACGACCAAGGCACTTCGTAAATTCGGCAGAAACAGCTTTCTCGATCTTCTTTACCTCCCGGTTTAGGAAGTCAGACGACACACCTAGATTAGTTGCTTCCGCAGCGCTAGAATCGGCAGAAATCTGAGGGAGCGCAATAGGAGTCTCAACTACCGGCACAGGTTGAGGAACTTCTGGCTGGCACTGATTAACATCTCTACTTAGGGTTTCCTTTGGTTTCATACTATCATTTTTCTTCTTCCGCCTTCTATCACTCTTATCTGTAGAAGTAATCACTTGATCATGTTGATCGGAAGTAGAGACAGAGTCACCTGCCTTCTTCTTCGGCGACTGTTTCGAGGGGGACTGGTTACGGGAGGATTCAACCCCAGTAACTGATTCTGCAGAAAGACCAGCGGCTTTCTTAAGGGGTTCCTTTACTTTCGGAGCACCCTTTAGGGCTACATCTCCGTTTACCGACTGTTCATCGACCGGAGCAGGGAACGTCTGCAGGGCATTGACATCTATGAAACCGTTCTGCAAGGCGTTAACGGGATCAAGGATTTTGTTGTCATTGCTCCATCCAAGGTCTGACTTCTTAATATTAAGACATGTGACTCCCAGAGAATGCATGACGTACAACTCGAATAGCCCTGCCTCTTCATCAACACTACGTTGCGAAACGGACGGCCGGTTGAGAGGCAGTAGCTCAAGGCTTCGCAGCTGCCCCTTGCTGCCAAAGGATAGCTCGCGGATTCCACTCATACAAGCTGTTGACTCCGGTTTTGGAAGTCTTTCATCCTTTTCGGCCACTCGCTGAATATACGTGCCCTGCGACATCGGAGG